GGATCCCACTAGCTCTCAGCTTGGGCACAAGGTTGGGGTTCTAGAGGGCTTGGGAGGTCTCCAATGTCTGACCCTGAGCAGATTTTGCACTGTTTCCTAGTCACTTTAAAGACAATTTCAAGGTTCTGCAAAAACCCCACCATACCTTTTATTTTTCCTGGGCTCTCTGAAATAGCTGCCTTCCTGATGTGGTAGCTGGACCAGGGAGTGTCCCCAGAAGGCCCACAACAGGAATCTGGGGGAGGCTGCTTGACGCCTCATTAAAACATTCCGAAGAAAACCCAAGTTCCCGGGAGGGCCTGTGCCCCCCTTCCACTGCTCTGTCCTCGGGCGGTTCTGGGAGTTGGGGGGGGTGGGGGAAGAGGATGTGTTTAAGGGCAGGTGATATAAAAAGCTTCGACAAATCAATACAAGCAGGATAAATAATCCATAGAAAGATGGGTAATGGCTCTGAGAGAGCTCAGTTGGGTAATAAACAAATATAAAGTCCAAGAATCACTGGCAGAGTGTAAATTAAAACGAAGGGGACGCCGCTCTTCACCTATCAGAATGCTAAGATGAAATCCAAGGGCCCTCACTGCATCCTGTGAAACAGCAAACAGGGAGAGGGCCCCTGTGGTCAGTCCTGGGAAGTATAAGCCAGCACAGCTTTTTAGAGGGCAATTTGGCCTTGCCTATTAAAATAAAAAATGTGCTTGTTCTCAGACCCAGCAAAGACAAATTCTAGAAATATCCTACCGGGAAATGGTCACATGGTGAACCAAGAGGGCATTTCAAGGAGCTCCTCTGCCACTATCTGGAATGTCTCTCACACACATACACGCACACACGCACGCGCACACACACTAGGGGAGGAAGTGGAGAAAGGATCTGAACGTGTATCCCTCAGGGATGTTTAACTAAGTTCATACTTTGGAATACTATGCAGGAATAAAAAGGGCTTGGAGAGATGGCTCAGTGTTTAAAAGCCCTGGCAGTTCTTCTAAAGGACCCAGGTTAGATTCCTTGCACCCAGATGGTGGCTCATTACTGCCTGTAATTCCAGTTCCTGGGGCCCTGACACCCTCTCTTAGCCCCCTCAGGCACTGCATGCACACGATATACAGACGCACACACAGCCAAAACAGTAAGCATACAATGAGATAATTTTTTAAAAAGGGATTTGGAGGCTGGAGAAACGGCTGTGGTTAAGAGCGCAAACTGCTCGGGCAGAGGACCCAAGTTCTGTCCCCAGCACCCACCTCAGGCAGCTTAAAACAGCCTGTAACCCCAGCTCCAAGGGATTCCCACAGGCTCCCCTCGGCACTACATGTATGCACAAAACCTCATGTCAACACAAGAATATACAAATACTTAAAAACATTATATATTTTAAAATATATATTTTTTCAAGACAGGGTTTCTCTGTGTAACAAAATATATATTTTAAATGATTTCTACTCACAAATGTAAAGCTACACCTTTAGGTACAATTAGGCCTGTGTCACACAGCCCCACGGAGAAGCTCGCTGAACTCATTTAACAACAAACAGAAAACAAGACACATCCATCTACTTGCTATGTATACAAAAGGTGCCACTTGAAGCACAGAGAGAGGCAGAGGACTGTCCCCAGACTCCCAGAATGTCTTTCTCTAGAAAGGGAACTGGGGTTTGACAGTGCCCAAAGAAAGCTTCTGTTTGCTCTGAACGATTTGTCTTGGGTTGAAGAGACGGCTCATTGGGAAAGGTGCTTGCTGCTCACAACTGAGGATTAAACCCACATAAAGATGAACCAGAGAATCCTCAGAGGCCTGATAACAGCCAGCCTGGTGTACACAGCGGTAGGCCAGATAGAACCTTGTCTCAAATAAGATAGGAGGTGAGGACAATACCCAGGCTGTCCTCAGATCCACACATGCACGCAAGCACATGCAGACACACACATACATGACAGAAAGAGAAAAAAATAAAAACAATGTGCTCATGTATTAGTCATGAAATAAACAAAAAGTAAGGAAACGAAGATTTCATTTTTTTAATAAACCCCAAAATGACACACAGGGACCTCTTACCTGAGTTCGCCTTCACTTAGCTTACAGGAGACAGTCCTCTGTAGATGTCTGAGTCCTGGGTTCAAAAGGCTCAGATCCCAGTTCTGCGGTCTTACTATGTTCACTTCAAGGTCATTTCCCCCTAACATGGCTTGGACACTGGGTGGGGTGAGAATATATATACATACACACACACACACACACACACACACACACACACACACAGCAGGTTCTAGCTCGGACTCTATGGAAAGCTACTGCTCGATAAATGGCTTTTCTTATTTTTAAAAGCAAGCACCTTGGGCTGGCAAGATGACTTAGCAGATAAAGTGCTCGCCATCTGAGCCTGAGACCTAAGGTCAACGCCTGGAACCCACCTGGTGGAAGGCGAGAACTGACTCCCCAAAGCACTCGTAAACACACACACACACACTAAACATTAAATAAGAAAAAGTGCCTTCTGAGCTGCCCCCACCCCAGGCTGGCTGGAAGAGATGGCCTGCACAGTCAGCCTAAGGGATGAAGTGCCCTACCCAAGGGTCATAGCCTACACCCAGGTCTGCCTCCCTTCTGACTGTTACATTCGTGAGAGTGGAGGATTCTCTAGGGTGTCCTTAAGGTAAGGAATCTCAAAGGACAAGACCACCCTCTTGCCTGCTCATAAGCTGTGGGCCGATCCCCTCCACTAAATTCATTCCTTCAATGCTCGTCTCTGGGCTACCCTTTTCTGTAAGGCACAGACAGATCATCTGAGTCCAGCTGTGACCAGTGTTCTACCAGTGGGAAGTTCTTTGGTCCCCCAACCAAGGTCACAGGAGAAGTGAGCCTGGCCTTGGATATGGCTGAGTAGGCAGTCTATAGTTTAGTGATAGCTGAGGTAGACGGGTTTCGTCCATACCTGTACACATCTGGACGCAGGAGAGAGAATGGGCAGGCTGCCAGTTGTTTGCTGACTCCAGATGAGCCTAGGGATCCCACAGGATGGTGGGTGGGTCGGCCAAACCTGTCCCTTGGACTACAACCCCTCAGACCTGAAGCAGGAGATGGTCCAGCGCACGCACATGCCCCAGCAAGGTCCCTGCATAGCCATACTGGCATCTGTCCCGCCTTCAGCGTAGGATCCTCCTAAACCAGGAAAATTCTCTGCATAGACTTCAGCTTCCCTATAGAGCTTTCTGGGGTCCTAGGGGCTCCATACCACAACGCAGTGAGGTACAGGGGTCGGCACCCAGTTGACGTAAGATAGACAATGGTCACAGTGGGTCTGGGCAAGTTCATAAAAATTCGGGAAGACATCTTTCTCAAAGGGTTGTTGGGAAGATTAAACTAGCTGACGTGCATAAAGTGCTTAGAACAATGGACTGGCAAACAGAAAACACAGAAGCATTTGTTAAATACAAACAAGTGAACAATAGACCTGTGCACGCACACACACACTCACAGGGTGACCACATGCACACACACACACGCATGTACAACTGTGCTTCCCTTGGAGTCATGTGCAGATTCACAGCTTCAGGTACATGTGGACTAGAATACACACGATCCCACGGACTGACCCAGATGCCCACAAAACCCTGTGTTGATGGACAAACGGCACACATCAGGATACCTTTCCCATCCATCGGTCTACCCCCATGCACATGTATGTGGACCCACATAGAAGTCACTGAGGATTTTTTGGCAAATAGTCCTGCTGCCCATGCTTGGAGCACCCCCCTCCCCGAACTTGTTCCCCTGTGTGCAGGCTCCTTTCTGGGGCAGCCCTTGGCTTTGGTAGTCCATTACCGGACTAGAATTGGACGGGATGGACCCTAGTAAACAGAATGCTGGGGACCACAGAAGAACATCAAATTGCAAGGATGTTAGGCAAACGTTTCTCTCATGCTCTCTTTTCAAAGATGAGCAACTGAGGTGTGGGGACAGACAGTCCAAGGTCACACAAGCTGTAGACTGAGCAGAGGAGTCCCAGATTCGAGGCTCTGTCCCATGAAGGAAACTGCTTGCCTTGTCTCTCTAGACCTGGGTCAGGGTTGGGGTATAGGGGCAACAAGACCTTAAAGTCAGGCACAAAAGCTGATTCAGGAATATGGGATGGGAGAGGATGGAAAATCTCCCCTCTCTGAGAAATGGCTCCCAGACCCTAACCCAAGATGGGGGTCATGATTTCCCTTAGTGTCTCCAGCTCTCGGTCTTTGCTGTTCTGAGTCTGTCCCTGCTGGGGTCGGATCTCTCATCCTAACCCTTTCTCTCTCTCTAGCCTTCTACTTACTATTCTATCTCTCGGTCTCCATTCTCAGACCATGCACTGTACCCCCAAAGGTCAGCTCAATCTCCAGACTCCCCAAAGTACATATCTTCTGCAAGGTGTACTGTGAGAAGAGGCTTCTGGAGACCTCCATACCACACCCACCTCCCTGGCAAACAACTTCCACTTCGGGTAAAGCTGTCCTATTAGTGCATACAGCTGTGTATCTGTGGGGTCTCGAGAGCTGGAGGAGGGCTCTAAATCCTATCCTCAGTCTATCCATGTGATTTTCTGACTTCTTGCACACGGCTTTGAGCGCGGGGTGCAAACAAAACTTGTGAAAGCAGAGGCCCCGAACGCAGTCTGTGGGACTCCACACCCAGAGTGGATCATTCTGGATCACACTGTCACCATCGAAAGAGATACATACGACCAGAGCCGTGTGCTCACACAAGCATGGTGTAGGGAAACTCCAACCACAGATTTCCAGACCCAGGACCCCAAGCCAAGTCTTCAGAAGTGGGGGAACTTCAGGCATCTGGAACCTACAGTAAGGCACCCCAACGAGAGCAGGCACCAGGATTCCTGGTTCAGAGTGGGGGCACCATCCCAAAGTTCAGACAATTAGGAGAACCCAAGACTTTGCGCCTACACTCGCCCCAGGAACCCCAGAGCAACTCCAGGATTCCTGAGTTTGAGCGTAGACCGAGAGGGACTTACCAGCGCATATGCGGAGCTGAGCACTGGGCAGCAGAGCAGGAGCGCCAGGCCGGGTGCGATCCGGGCGGCCCCCATCGCCACCGCCTAGGGCCGCGTCCCTCGGGGCAGCCGCCGCCGGCCCTGGTGATGGTTGGAGGGTGCAGAGCTGTGTCAGGCCGGGCCGCCCCGCCCACACCCTGTCCTAGGGGACCCCGGCCTCCGGGCGGCCCGAGGCCCCGGAGCCCGGTGCGGGGCCCATACGCCGAAGGCGAGCGAGAGAACCAACCGGCGCAATGGAGAGAGGGAGGGCGGAGGGAGGGAGGCAGCCTGAGGCCGGGCGGGCGGCGGGCGGGCGCCGAGCGCTGCTGAGCGGCCTGTCTGCCTCGGAGCGGAGAAATCACATCCATATGGCTGGGCCCCCCGCCCCCGGCCCGCCCCCCGCTCCCCTCCCGCGCCGCCTTTTCTTTCTTTCTTTCTTTCTCTCTGTCTTTTTTCCCCCCTCTTTGGGGGAACTGGGAGCCGTGGCTTCCCTCCACGCCCAGTGGGGGAGGGGCGGGGGAGGGGTCGGGGTCGCGGTCTGCGGGGGGCGACCAGGCTGTTATTTTTAGCTCCGCGGCAGTGGGCAACAGGGGAGTCGGGGCGGGGCAGGGGGCGCGTTTTGAGTTGCGCGGGGCGTGCAACTACGGGATACCATCCCGACTTTTGCAACGACACTGAGCCCTTCGGTGTTCCTGCCACCAGCTCCGGGCTCTCCGGCGGCACTGCGGCCCGGCTCCCCCAACCCAGTCTGGACCCCCAAGCCCTTAGCAGCCACCTCCTGCACCTCATTTCCCATCCTCCTAACCCGTGCCGCGTGCGCCCGAGCGGCACGAGCGCTCCTGCGGCCCCGAGGCTGGGGCAGACTGTCTGCTTGTCAGTCGGTCTTTAGCTAGCCTTGTCCCCCTCCCCTCCGGACATCAGCCCCCCTCCCCCGACCTTGGCCTCTACTATTCCAGCGGCCCCAAGCTCGGTTTCGGTCACTCCCTCGCTTCCTCCTCCCCTCCTCTACGAAAACATTTGCAAGTTTCCAAAAAAGCCACCGAACTGCGCGGCAGCGGGCTGGCGACTCCGCCGGGCTCCGAGGAGGCGCCGCAGACTGACACCGAGACCGAGCAGCCGGGCCCGCCCTGGCCGAGCCCCGAATCGCTGCTGCCCCACTCCGGCCTCCCGCGCCCCGCGCGCCCGACCCTCCCCCCCAAGCCCCGACTTACTCCGAGTACGCCGCCGCGGCCCCCGCCTTGCCATGAATGTCGGGGCCCCCCCGACAGCCTCCCCAAGCCAGCTCCCCGTCCGCGGCCCCGGGGGGACTTCATGGAGCTCTCGGGATCCCCCCTGGCCTGCCTGGCCTCCTGAGCCCCCCGCCTGGCCGCCGCTCCGAGCCGCCGCCCGCCTCGCGCGTCCCTCTCCTCGGCGTCTGTCGCTCCCCTCCCCCCCGCGGCCCGGAGCCTCTTCCCTCCCCCGCGCCCTCCCCGGGCCTCCTCCGCCCCTGCCCCCTCCACCGCCTCCCTGGAGGGTGTGTGGCGGGCAGAAACGAGCCCGCCGCCCCCACCCCAAGAAGGATGAATGTTGGGGGGAACGGAGTCTAGGGAGCTCTGACATCGGGACCTGAGAACCGGGACTGGGACGCTGTCTCCGCTTTTGCTTTATTCTCTCTTCTAGAGAAGCACAGACCACCCATCACCCCCAGATCGTCCAGCCCTTGCGATGAGCAGGCGGGCTCCAGGAGAGGAGCCACTGGGGAGGTCGCCTAGTACTTCGCGCCCTCGGGCCCGCGGCGCTGTCCGTGCACCCGCGGTGGGGACCCTGGGGAAGCTGCTCCACCGCCTGCCAGAGACCAGGCTACGCAGCCAACGCCCTCGCATCCCGCCCCGCCCTTGCCTGGTCCTCCATCCTCTGTCCCACCCCTAGTCCCGGGGTGTAGCGGACCTGAGACCTGCATAGTGCTCCTCCAGCTTATGTCTGGAACTACGAGGTGTCTTTTTCCGATCCGGTTATCTTAAGATGTCTCGACCTATCGGCTGCTTGCCAGGCATCTCCAGCTCTCCCACCGAACCCAGTTTGGGGGCTTCGAGACTACAAGACTTGGGGCTTAGCTAGGACACACTCTTGTACTTCACCTCCTTCCATCACGCAGTCCCCCAAATGCTGGTAGCTATCTTGGGACTCTCGACTTAGGGAGAGAGGAGGTGTGTGTGTGTGTGTGTGTGTGTGTGTGTGTGTGTGTGGTTTTTGTACTCCATACTGGATGACCCCTGGGTTCTAGATCTAGGATTTCCAAGCCTACCAGGTGGAGAGCATTAGGCAGCAGAGAAGGTTAGGAGTGCTTGGAACAGAGGGCTAACCAAAGGACTGCGGAAGGAAGCCATTTTAAGTGTGGTGCCCTGAAAAATACCACCGGGTTAAATGGCACCCTTGCTTGCTTACTTACCAATTCGGTGTCCTAATCACTAGGCCTCTCCGGGTTTCTTGGCCTCAGTTTTCTCATCTGTAAAATCGGAAGTTGTCCATCTGACTCAAAGGGACCTTGAGGGTTTGTGCAAACCCATGAGCGCCAGGGGTTCTCCACTAGAATTCTATGCAAATGAGCTCAGACCCCCCCCCCAAAAAAAACCTTGCTCACCATCTCAAGGATGGCTCTGCCTCTCAGTGTAAATGGGAACTCACGTCCTCAATCTTCCTCAAACATTTCTTCTGCCATGCCCTTCTTCTGTGCCCACTGCTCCTGTGTTTCTTGTCCTGGTTTTCAAAAATGGCTATTTCCTTCCCCGACTGTCCCTAGTAGATACAGTCTGCTAGACTTCTGGACAGCTCACGTTCACACCTCTGTCTGGTTTTTGCTGTTTCCTTGGAGGTCACGCCTCCCTACCTGTGTCCCCAAGCCCTCCTTGGTCATGTGGGTGTGAGTTCAGGGGTATCTTTATGGTATGCATGCTCTTTGAGAGTGGAAGACCCACAGAGCCTTGCTTTGATGATCTCAGTGTTACGTGTTACTGTATGACACAAGTCTCATGTGTCTTTTCCCTTGGTGACGAGAAACGAACATAGGTAGTGGGATTAAGAATGAGGGAAATTTAGAAGCTGATTGGGCAGAGCTCTTCTGACCATAGAACACTTGCTTGCACTTGGACTGGGCATGGTGGCACACACCTTTAATCCCAGCACTTGGGAAGCTGAAGCAAGAAGATCTTTGTGAGTTCGAGACCAACCTGATCTATATAGCAAATTACAGGCCAGAAATGCATAGTGAGACTCTATCTCAAAAAAATAAAGCAACACAAGAAAGATAAGATTTGCCCTTGGGTGGATCAGGGCAGGCTGTGGCAATACTAAAGTGGTGTGCTGGTCTCTGTGTCCCCCTATGCGCAAAGTCCCTCACTCTAGAGTTCCCTCCTAGACATTCCACACGATGGTCACCTATCACCCCCAGGCCTCTGGTTAAACTGCCACTATGGGAATGGGGCGGGGATGGAATATTAACTGGTAAAACACCAGGGTTGGATAGAGCCAACCTTGCCCTTTGACTGGCAGGCCCTGGGCTGTGAGGTCAGTTTCTGGTTAGTTTCAAGTCAGTTTTCAACGAAGTTGGGAAAAGGAAGGCTAGGTGTAGGGCGTGGGTCTGTGTTTCTCTCTTTGATCCCCAGCCAGGCTTAGCAGGGGGAGATAAGATGGTCACTGCAGTTCAGAACCAGAGCAGAGTCTGGACTCAAGCCCCCCCCCCCCTCTCGCTAATGTGGCAGCTGCAGGCTAACAGGCCCCTGCTGCTACCAGTCTGCTAGGGCTACACAGACCCTCACACCGATCTTCCAGCTCTGTAGTCTGGCCTCACTCTCTCAGAAAAACCCTGGTCACCCGCCTGGAGGAACCAGGAGCCCACATCTGGTTCTGAGACACCCCCTTTTCCCCAGGCTTCACCCCCCAGGTTAACCCCAAAGTCACTTGTCTGCTAAGATTAGCTCTGCTCCCAGACTCTGATCTGCCCCCACAATGAACCTGACCCCAGGCTAAGCCTTTATCCCAGACTGATTTACTACCCTTGGCTGAACCCTGACCTCTGGCCAAGACTTCTTCCAGGTTTCAGACCCCAGACATTTCTCTAGTTACCAGTCCCTCCAGAAAGTTTTTGAGTCAAGGGGCCAGTATGGGATGGGACGGCCAGGCCGTAAGTGAAGCAAGGTGCCACTTTTACAGCCATTTCGGCTGCTCATAAACACCCCCCTCCCCAGCTGAGTCACTGAAGGCTTCCATAGCTGCTGGCTGGGCAAACCCCCCTCCTCTGCAGCAGGGTCTGGCTTCTCACCTCCAGGAAGGTGAAAGGAGGGAGGGAGGATGGGGGCTCAGGAGGCCAGGAGGTCTTGTCTCAGTCAGGACACACTCCAAAGGCTTCTGGAGGTATGGACTTCCTCTGGCTGATGTCATGGTCACAGGTGTCTTGCTGTCGTGACACCATGACACGGGGTCCACAGACATGGGCCACGAGGGTATTCCTTGCCTGCCCCAGGGCACAGCACATGCAGCAGAGACTTACTGCAGAGGTGACACAACCTTGCCTCTTTATTCCCAGCTGCAATCAGGCCTCCTGGCTCCCTAAATCACACTTACCTGTAATCTGCAGGCCTTTCGGATGGGGCCTCAGGTTGAGGAGTAGACTCAGGTTGGCCATGGGGAGGCCATGGGAAGCTCTAGAGAAGCTTCTGCAGCTCAGGCCTGAGCGAGGACGCTGCTGATGAGGACAGGAAAAGACCCAGGTCAGAGCTCCGGCTTGCAAAGAAAAATTAATCATTTTTTACCAAGCCATGCACTGGCTCAGGACTTTGTCCCAGATCCCAAGCCTGCCAGTGTTCTGGACTGGGCCCTCCCCTCAACCCTCACGGATCTGCCTTCCAGGCACCAGGCTGCCTCAGTTGCCTTCCCTTGCCCTGCCAAGCCTCACTGACCAATTCCCCATTTATCTAACCCTGTTTCTGTCTAATCTTTCTGGCCCTTTCTGCCTCTCAGAAATCCCAGGCTGCCTGCCGCATGGCATGGACATGGCATCGGTACGTGACCTTATTCAAGGTTTAGGCACCTTGAAAAGAAATTGGGCTTTGTCTGGTTTGGACTCACATCCCAGGGAGAAAAGCAGACATCTGAGCTGGAGCTCAGGGGATGAGTCTTGTTTAGCATGAGTAAGATTCTGGGTTGGATCGCTCAGAAATGGTGTGTGTGTGTGTGTGTGTGTGTGTGTGTGTGTGTGTGGTGGGGAGGGTGCTGAGCTGGGAGAGCTGAGTACAGTGATCCCAATTTGGGCTACACAGGGAGACCTTGTTTCAAAAATAATAACTAGGGACTGGAGAGAAGGCTCCACAGTTAAGAGCACTTAATGGTCTTACAGAGGACCAGGGTTCAGTTCCCAGCACCCACACTAGCTGGTTCACATCTACCTTTAGTTCCAGGGGATCCAAAGTGTTCTGGCATCTGTAGACACCTCAGTGTGCGTGGTGCACATAAACTCATGCAGGCACAGCATACACATAGATTAAAATAAACACATAGGGGCTAGGGTTGTAGCACAGTTGGTACTATAGGGTGCCTGCTAGCCATAAAGGCAACTCCCAGAGCCGCTTAACCTGGTGTCATATGACTGTAATCCCAGAAATAAGGAGTTGGGGGCAGGAGAATCAGAAATTCAAGGTCATCCTTGGCTACATAGAGAGTTTGAGGCCAGTCTGAGCCGCATGAAACCCTGTCTCAAAACGGGGGTGGAGTGGGCAATGAGATGGCTCACCAGGTAAAGAAGTTTGCCATCAAGCAAACCTAACAACTTGAGTTTGACCCCTGAGACTCACATAGTGGATGGAGAACATTAACTTCTGCAAGTTGTCCTCTGATCTCCATACATGTGCCATGGTACACGTGTACACACACACACACACACACACACACACGCACGCACACACGCACAAAGAGAGATAGAGAGAGATAAGATAAATACATATAACTGAAAATAAAGAAGAAACAAAACCACCAATCAAACAAAAAAACCCAAACAAACAACCAGAGAATTCCTGAGGTCTCAGCTAGGAGAGATGTGGGGGCTCTTCTTTCACTCCAGTGTTTGCCTTGACCCCTTCTGGCCCCACACTGTTATCCCTCCCAGACCCAGGGGTCTGCTTGTCTGTAGTAGCAGGGGCCTATACACAGGGTGACCCTCCTTTGTGAGTCTGTAGAATAGAACCAGAAGTGGATGCAGAGGGGAAGATGTAGACAAATAAGAACACAGAGACTATGCACGATCCTAGAAACATCACCCCAGGTCCCCAGAACCCAGTGACCTGGGCTGGAGAC